GCCATCTTTTCATTTCAGAACTGTGTCAGCAAAATGGACGCCTCAACCTCAGTATGTAGCCCTGCCACAGTGTTTATGGATCAAATACACAGGCATTGTTTTTTTGTATTTCTGTGTAATTTTGTATACTCCCTGTTACTGTGTTGTAATGTCCTTTCTTTAAAAGGACACTCTAGTAATGAGAATAATGGGGGAAAGAACAGTTGTGAAAGCTATATCTATATCTAAATTGTCCTCCTCAGAGTAAAGTTACTTTAAAGACATTTCTTCTGTAAATATATGGCTGGCAAAGACAGTTCTCAGGTAATAATTAGGGCTTTAAGCTGTGAATATCACTTTCAGAGGATATTCACCTCCATCCTACACAACTAGAACATGTTAATTATTGTATTTCAGAATAAAAGTTGATTTATGTAGGGAAGATGCACCTTTAATATCTCCACCTTTCATCATCCCTCCATTTTCTAAACTGCTCATCCCATTCAGGGTCACAGGGGATTTGAGCATATCCCAGCAGACATTGGGGCGAGAAGCGAGGGTACACTCTGGACGAGTCACCAGTCTATCACCGAGCTAACACATATATAGACAAACAAACACATTTACACTCTTCCCTCTTTTGTAGCCCCTCCTAATGATCCCCCCTGTCTCCTGAACTGGGAGAGCTGAAGGTGAGTATCCCCCTCCAGTCATCTCCAGTCTCTCACCAAGACAAACACTTGAAATAGACAAGGCACTTTTTTTTTTTCATGGATGGGATGGGGGGAGGATTTTCAAAAATGTATTAAAACCCAAGCAATAAAATATAGACCAGGTGGGGTCAAATTCACATCAACTCTCCAGGCTCCACAGCCAGTGTGGCTGGTGTGATGATATGAGGACAAGGGAAGAGTCTAACAAGAGGAGAGAAGAGGGAAAGAAAGTATCAATAATGCAGTGTACACCGTATACAGCTGACAGTTAAAATGGAAAACACACTGCCTGAGAAAGAGGAGGGCACACCGAATTTTGGGCTGTGTCCCTTGTATCTAAGTGCCAGAACATGAATTCATCAGTTAAATTATTTGAGTTCATTGTGGCTGCTGAAGCCAGTTCAAGTGTTTCTGTGCTAAAGGTGACCTACACAGAAAAGTTAATACAGATTTCGGCACAATTTAGTGCATTCAGTGTCGTGAGCTATGTTTTATAATGAGTTGAAATACTGGTGAAATACCAAGTGAAATCATCTTTCCTCTCTGACATCTGCCACGTGTTTATTTTATGAACACGTGGCAGATCACTACTGATGACAAAAAATGTGGAGATGGAGGCCAAGGTATTTTATTTTATTTTATTTTTGTTAATGTTTATTTACTATTTATTTTCTGGAATGTCAGTTAAACACATACTGTCAGTTTCACATTTATTTTCCTCTTATTGGTGATGAACTAAAAAATGCTCCATAATGGAGCCCCTTGGGAGAACAAGGTCCTCATTCTCCCAGTGTTTCCACACTGTTTCCGTCTCTTCCTCTTTTCCTTCTCCTTAATTCTATCCTCTTTATTTTTTTAAATTTTAAGAGCTCTCGCTCTTCCACAACCCCTCCTCTTCCCTTTGCATCTCTTGTATTGTAAACAGCTCACAAAAGCATGACAAGGTCTCTGCTCATGTTCCCCCTGCCTCCCTCTCTGTTCTCCCAGCTATTTGTTATTGTCTCCTCGCTATCGTGTGTGTTTGTCTCTATCACGCGTTCTTTATTCTGTTTTTCCTCTGCGTCAGAAAAGCAAAAGTTAATTAAATATGGAACGAGATGGAGCAGCATCTCTTTAAACCATCATGTCATTAAAATGGCATCCCTGGGAGATCAGCTTAAAAGGAGTCGGAGAACAATGTCTTCTCCGTCAGATATTTATGGGCCTGGTTATGTAAACATGCTCCCTTTATTCTCTATGTATATTTCATGTAATTATCACTTTTTGTAGCGCTTCCCCCCTGAGATTTGTAGAGGCAAGAAGTTACTAGGGGAATGTCATTAGAACAGACTATTGTTACAGCGCTGCTATGATACTGCACCAGGAAAAAGGCAACATTCCCGTCCTGGTGAAACCTTTTATCTATATTTGACTTCATCATATAAAAATCCTCAATGTCTTGTTACAGTGTTTCTGCAGCTGAGACTAAAGCTCATGGCCCATTCTCTGCAGTTGCCCATCTTTATTAAAACCGAGAAACACACAGACGAAAGCATTCAACAGCATTTTCTTCTCCTTCCAGCATGCATCTGATCTAGATACCAGGAAATTCACAGTTGATTTACAGGTTTGCAAGAAACCTTGATGCCTCTTACTCAGCCTGCCCATGTACATCCATCTGTTAGAAAAGCTGAAGATCTGGAGTGAACTGGATTCCTTCAGCAGCAGAGGCCAGTGACTGGTGCTTGAAGGCCTGGGTGCCAGCTGACGGAAGTCGCTAATTAAGAGGGCTGGGGAGCCAGTGGGGTGCCTTATGAAACAGGGGCACCTGGGTTTCACAAGAGGGGGCCGGGTATCCATCGCAACTCATCTGTGTTGCACAGGGATGACTGAAGTCCGCTCCAGTGCCACGTAGCACTCTTTCACTCGAGTGTAATGTCAAATACGGCTCACACAAAAGCCCTCCTCCCCGTGTGCCCTCTCTCAGCTTGTTTGCCATCACAGGGGGAGATGTTATTGCATGGCATGATGAAATTGTATATGTCAAGGTGCATTTCATTCAAGCCAAATGCGCTTCAATGTAGATGCAAGAAGAAACAGCTGTGTATGAACACAGTCAAATACACATGTGATGTAAAAAAAAATTGCACACACACACTCACACAGGATCTGGGTTCCCACACGCATAACTTAATGTCCCTCTCCTTTCTATTGTTCGCTGAGTCTTCTTTGCTGCAGGGTCAAAATGTCTCCAAGTAATCTAACTAGCTCTGACTTAAGGGACAATATAAGGTCTGCCATGAGTTCTGTCATTACTGTTTTACCCACCACAGGCAGATACAGCCCTCGACCACCACTGAACCTGCCATATTGCTATCCAACCTGACCCCACAGATGCAGTAAACCTAAGTGAACCACAGTTTCGAAAGTCGACAGCAATAACCACTGCAGAATTGCTTTTAATCAACGTCTGAAATGAGGGTGACTTGAAGCGTCGCCCCATGCTGATTAAATGTAATTGTTTAATTGCCAAGTGCTGGGAACCCATCCTAAGAGGATTCCAATGGAATTATTTAATCTCTAGTCAGGAAGTACACTGCAGGAAAAGGCAGAGGGAAAAACGGAAGAGCGGAAAAGGCAAAAATCAAGCAGAAATAGTCTGTTTTTCTTTTTGAGTATGCCCCTCATGAAATATTAACTATGGTTTACATTTTTGTTAGCTGAGAAAGTGAACAGCCTACGCGGGGTGAAAATGTACACTAAGTGATGCTGCAACTTCAAAAGAGGTCACAGTTTTGACCTGTATGTGCAGACTAAAGTGGTTTGGTCTTGTCTGTCGGTTCACTTTTAGATTCCAGCTAAACTTTAAAGCACTAGTGTAGCATAGTTGTCATCGCCTTGTTATAAAGAGTGCTTGTTTTTGAAAATGCCAATGTTTTCTCAGTTTTTCCTTATTCCAGACATTACATTATTGGCTTCACTCCACATCTGTCACCTTTTATTTATCTATTGTGTAGATCAGAGGCGTTATCCAATTTGAAAACAAGAAATTTCCGCATTAAGTCACCCTAAAAAAGTGCTAAAGGGGAACCTCTAAGAGTTTAACTATTCAGAGATTCTCATGGGGAAGTTATATAGGCCCTCTTTCCCCCTCTGATCATTGACTGGGTCTCTGCTAATGGGCTCTATAAACCTATGGGGCACAGGTGCACTTCATTTGGGGTCACAGCTTTTAGATACATTGCTTAGGGTCACAGACATCCAAACTCCTCATAAACACATTCACTTATATAAACAATGAATAGGATTAAAACTATACACACACCTTTGCATGCACACAAAATTAAAATCTCTCATGTGTGTTTTTCATGGCACTACCCCTCCTAGACCAATTTAAGCTGGCATGATCCTCAATGCAGCCTCAGTCTGTTAGCCAATCAGTTTGGCACACATGCCATGACATTTCAATCTATCAACAAAATCAATAGCAGTGGTCCCCCTAATATAACTGCACACAGCACAAGTGTTCTTCACAGTGGTACGGCTTTTGCTGTCGCATTTAGATACACAGGGAGTAAACCCAGGCTCGGCATTCTGCTGATAAATGCAGTTCTGTCACCCCAAGGGAAATGTGCCTGCATCCCTCTGGTCAGAAGTGTGCTTCTATCCCCCCCGCCCCACCACGCCATGGGCGGAGAGGGGGCGAGGGGGGAGCTCAGGCCTGTTCCCTGCAGCTGTGCCCTTATTCCCAGCACCTGACCAGGGGCCCAGATGTGCACACAGGCAACAGCAACAATTTGAGCAATGTAAGTCCCCTGTGGGACCCAGGCACCTGCAAATGTAACCCCACTATCTAACATGATGGCGTAATTACAGGTCTAATAAGTCTACATCTGGAAAGAACTCATTTAATCTATCAAATCAAACCTTCCTGGACTGGGGAACAATACAAAAATGGTATCGCACTCTCAGCATTTCATCTGCACATCAAACAAAAGCTACTCTGCAGTTGGCACTGACCCAATTAGCCATCAGGTAGACAGCAACTACAGGGCACAATAGCTTAATCAATTTATTTAATATTGTGCATAAATATCCTCAGCCAGTAACAGAGATGTGTTTAATTTTGAAAATCCTAAACTTTATTTGGTTAAAATAAGCACAAAAATGTGTTATTAATTTTTTTAATTATTATACCATACTTAAATTGAGTCAAGAGGATACAATTTAAGCTACTACTCTAATACTTACAATTACACAAACAGTTACAAAAAAAATATATAGCATAACAGCACTTAAAGACAATATAAAACATTTGCTAAAGCTGGACATACTGTAACTTTTCAAGTTGTGCAAGTAGCATGTGACAGTGAAAGGACTCACTGTGAGTAAATGTATAGAGAGCACCATCCAATTTCACATACCTGTGATTATTAGGTTATATTCATCTATTAAAATTTGAATCACACAGGATCCTGGGTGCAAAAATATAGTATGTATTTAAATGGCAATTCAAACATAAACAATAAAGTAAAACAGTTCATGGAAACCGTAGCCAATCTCAAAGACTGACTTGGAACTGTAATGAACTGAAACTTTATGCTCCAGCGCTGCACTCACAGGAAGCTACAAAGGTTAATGGTGACATCTAGTGGCACAGAAGTATACATACACCTGCTGATCACAGTAAAATGGTATTTTGGTATTGTTTGTAAACATTTAACTTCTCTCTCTCTCTTACAGGAAACCAAAAACTTTCTGTAAAAAAATTTTTAAAATAGTAACAATAGGACCTGTGGAGTGTTTTAGTTGCAATAATCACTAATAATGTAATCACAGTCAAAAATAAAGATGAATGTTTACTTTTGTGTTGTGTTGTGTATCTACAGTATAGTAAACAAGGCATCTATTTTTTAACATGGGGTAATGAATGTGCAATAAATGTACTCACTATGTGGTGACCCGTAAGCCTTAACAAACCTACTGTATAACAATGTGCTCCAAAAAAGAAAAGTAAATTTCAGGCTTCAATAACATTTCATTTTAAATACATTTAATGGCACTTTGTGTTTTTATCACTGTGCTTCTGTAATATTAACACTAGTAAACTCTCTAACAGCAGAGGGTGATAGTGATCTGCTTTTCTTCAGCTGAAGTGAGTATGTCATAGTGAGGGCGCACACTTTTTATGAACATGAATCTTTGATATAATGTGTATAAATTCAATATACAAGCTGCATAACAGAAAGAACAAGAAAACATATCTAATGAATTGCAATCTAGTCTGTATGACACTCATTCAAGACAAATATGTATGTGTATATAGTTATGTATTTTCTGTGGACAATGGATGTGCCAAAGAATGCAGGCAGTTAGTCAGGGAAAATGCATTTTCTTAACCTTGTTTTGACAAATACATACAGTACACGAGCCACAGCTGACAGTTCTCATTATAACACTGTCGCCATGGTATTTATTAACAGGTCTGAAGAGATGGTTCTGTTTCACTCTATTCTGTTGATTTTTTTCTCTCCTACCCAACAACAAACACATCACTCGTAACCCTGCCCAGTTCTTATAGTATATGAAACTCTTGTTGGTATATTCAGATTTTTTAGACAGGATCATTATTTTCCTGCCTATGGTGAATGTTTAATACATACTTTAGATGTGAACACAGTGAACTGATTGACAGTTAATTACATTACACTGTACAGTACCAACCTTATACATCCAGACACTGAAAAGCACAACAGAAAACTACTTTGACAAGTTGGTGCACAGTTGAGCTTCATCTGCTGAAACTGTGGAATGTATGGGTTAGATTTTGAATACTTCCATCCATAGTTCTGGCACATTGTTCATCCCCATCCATCCACGGGTATCCGCTTGTCACTGGCCATCACGGAGGACAGATGAGGAGGAAGTAGTATGTCGTCTTGGACAGAGAATCTTACTAAAGGCCCTACGGAAGCTACTGTGGCAAAGTGGGTACAGGAATGGGTTAATAGCAGAGTTGAGCCACAGGAGCCAGAAGGTGACCTCGTACCAGTGATGCTGGATGCACCGCCCTCTGCAGGCAGCACGGATGATCATCAGTAGGGTGTATGGTGCCCAGCAGATGGCAAACACACACACTATGATGGCCAGGGACTTAGCAATTTTCTTATCCCTGGACAGACGGCTAGGCTGGGCAGCCCTGCTGGTTGAGGGATCTAGTTTACCCAAACTGGGAGAGGAGGTCTGGGAGTGGATAGAGCCTTTTACAGCCAGTTTCATCCCTAACCCCCAGTTGTGGGATAGGGGGATACCGTCCCCCTGCGCAGAGGCAGGCTCGCTCAATTGAAGGTGGAGCTGGGCCTCCCTGCTGTGGAGCCTCCTCCTGCGTATGCTGAGGTAAATGCTGAGGTTGAAGAAAGCCACGGAGATGAAAGGAGAGAAAAACTCCAGCATGGACGCACTCAGCAGGAAGTACCAAGAGTAATAGAACTCTGCAAAGCACTCATCCTTTGGCACGCGGCTTCTGCCCACCGCCAGCTCCCAGAATATGATAGCTGGGCCGTACAGGACAAAGGCTAGCACCCAGACAGCAATCATCTTGATTATGGCTTGATGAGTCATGCTCTGTCTGGCACGGTAACTTATCTGCAGTAAATACAAGAATAAATCAGTAAATACACTTTGAGTAATACTGCTGCTCAATTGTATGTGCAATTTCTGCAACCTACCGTTATTGTAGAAAAAGTTAGTGGGCAAAATAGGACATCATCTTTAGCAATAAAATTGTAGTCAATGTTCATTTAATTGCAATGGCGGAAGAGGTTTAATCCAGCACTTTTTAATACAACACTGATCCCCTTGAACTAATCACAGCACAATCGTACAATCAATATAGAGGGGACCCTTCAACCAGAAGCCATTACTTTAAACTACCATGTCTACAAAAACCATCCAGTGAAACCCTTCAATCCACTGATGAGCCCACAACTGAGAATTTTACAAAATAATCAAGTATAAAGCCAATAACACTGTGATATATAAATCACAGAACATTTTGATGGACAAACAGAAAATATTGTGATAAGAATTGTTCCCAACATCTTGACTTCATGCACTGCGGTAAAGTGTGTGCTGTGTTTCCACTACAGGAACGTTTCCCAGAGACTATGAAGTTTAGGAGGAACTCAGTACATTTACACCATTGCCTCTCGAGCTGCCCTGAAGATGTGCCCCTGTTCTAAATGACAAAAAATGAATTGCAGTTCTTCTTCAAAGAAGATGCTTGAATAAATTAATTGGCATACAGCACTTCTTGCTCCTTCTTCATGTAGTGATGGAGCACTCAACGGAGAAGAAACAGGTGTGCTCATAAATCCAATCAGAAATTTTGCATTATCTTTTTAAACTGTTAGATTCCTCCTGAGAGGCTCTACTCTTAGCTCACTCTTACAACCATAAGCAATACTTAAAACAGGATGCTTTCTCTCTAACGCCATGCAGTTAGCATTTTGTTAACATACTGACATTTCATCTAACTGCCAAATGTATGCATCTAATATGACTCCATCTTTTCTTTTGAAAGACAAACTTTGTCCTGTGGCTGTTGACGATCCTTTGTCTTTCAATGTTCAGAGAGAAATGCTTTTAGGAAAATGCTGCTTGGCTGCCGGTGGCCTGTTTCTGCTATGATTGATCTCCCCAGGTTGGAAGGACCATGGCACAGAGAAGGATCTCTATGATCAAAGCTAGCTAATTAAAGAAGAGGCTCTCTCTCTCTCTCTCTCTCTCTGGTGTTATTTGTATTCATTGCTCTGATGTTAAGTGTTTGCTTGTGAAAGGAAACAGAACACTCTCTTTGTCTACTATGCCAAGCCTCATCCCACCTTTGAGTTAACACACACGTGTATAGGATACAGTCAGTCGGCTAATGCACAGACAAGCCCCAACAAAAGGTTCAATGGGCCTAACAGCTGCAGAGGTTTGGAAATGTATGCTAACTACTAGATATGTGCCAAGGCAGGCAGAAAATAGAAAATCGACCTTACTGATGCCGTACAATTGTATTTCAGAAAAAAAAAGCAGTGGGACATAGTTTCATGGACAGAGATTCAATTATTTTAAACTGTTGAAGTGGAAATCAAAAGTATTTAAGTTTAGACCTCTAATATTGAATTTTTGACAATGATGTGTTGTTTTCTGCGTATTTCCTGAAGCCCAGTCTGTCCCAAAGTCAAAATGTGACTTTTTTTTATCTTCGTCATGGGGAAGGGCTATAATTAGGGGTGGCACTGGGCCTGAATGGGTCAGGAATGATTAACCTCTGCAGATGGGCACATTTGGGAGAATGAGGTGGCACTGCCCCTACCAATGACCTAGGAGACTCACCAGTCAGAAATAAAGCCAAGACCACAAGCAGTGAACACTTGTACGGCTAAAAGGAAAAGGGCTCTTTAACTTTTAACATTATAACACAGAAACTAATATTTCTGTCTGCGTGGAAACTGAGACAGGAAAATGTTAATGAGCCAACTCCAATCATACTCTGGTTTACCTTCATTCGCCTGAGACATTTTGAACATTCAAGATTCTTTCACACATAAAGCTGGCTAGTGTACTGTATCATAATCCTAAATTCACTTTGATGGTTGTGTGCATCACTGATGCGAGGCTCAGGATGTTCCACTCACTGCTCTGGTGACTGACAGGAAGCGGTCGTAGCTGATGAGGACGATGTTGAACACAGACGCTGAACAAAGCAGGTAGTCCATGACCAGCCACAGCTTACACAGTCGTTGGCCCAGTGTCCATCTGCCTGTGAGAATGTAAGGGATGTAGACTGGGATGCAGAATGCCCCTACAGAAACAGTTTGGAAAGGGATCAGTGACCAAGGAATATGTCCCCCATTTAGCTTTTATAACCAGTATATAAACGTTTAATAAATGGTTCAAATCACACAATAGCGTAGTTTAATGATTTAATGATTTATAAATAAAGGCATGCTGTACAAAATGAAAATCAATGATATGTCGAACAAACACTTTAAAATGCCCTAATATCTGTTATAGATATATTATAGTGTATTAAAATCATTTATCAAATGTTTATATGGTTCTTAGAAATGCCTAATGAAGCAAATACAGTAAAGTGTTCAATTTTAACCTTACTGAACTTTATAGGAATGAATGAAGGAAGGAAAGTGACAAATAGTGATGAGCAAGTGTGAAACTGCAGATCATAGAAAGAATGCATGTTTATAAAAAATTAGACAATGCCACTATGAGAGTAATGGTATACAAAGGAGCATCAAAATATTTGAAAGACTCATAGGACAGAAGATAGCCTTTATGTAAGAAACAGCACATTTATCGTTTTGCATTAAACTTCATCTAACTATATTGCTGTACTGTTGCTGTAGGGTCTCTCAAAAAAACACTAAGGTTGGACTTACCAACAAGAAAATCTGATATTGCCAAATTCAGGAAGTAGTAATTGCATTGTCTTCTCAAACTCTTGTCCACTTTAAAGGCCAAAATGACCAGAGCGTTGCCCAAAACTATCACAACAACCAAAGTCACCATCATCACCATTAAAACGACATATATGGGTCCTGAAAACACGAAGCTGCTCTGGACTCTAGTTGAGGCATTGTCAAAATAGTACTGACTGGAGTTAGAATCAGTCTCGTCCTCCGACATGGTCCTGGTTTGAGCTGAAAGGTGCTGTCGTTAAATCCTCAATAGACCAGCGCTGTAAATAATAAGCCAGCAACAGGTGCCAGGCGAGCAGACACAGCATCCAACACCCCCCATATAGCCTCTAAAAGCGTCGCTTTCCTGCTGAAACTGAACACAATGTGCCAGAAAGTCCACGAGAGAGCGCACAACGCTCTTCACAAAACGCTGCCTGGACACCACCTGAATTACGCATTTGTCTTAAGGTAAAGCCCTGCTGTAATGAGATTACTTCTCTAAGCAATAGTTTTTGTTATCACGTATTGTATGTAATGCCAGATTATGACTTAATTATATTATTATAATATAATATGTATCATGTAATATTATTATTTGTGTGGCACTATAAGCTTTATACATCCGAAACACAATACAATTTGGTAATTTTTGCTATACGAGATTAACGAGAGAGGACTGCAGTATCCTCCCTCTTAAAGTAATTACAGATACTAAAAATTAGATATTATTCCAGCAGCATCCGATACTTCATTTAATGGAAAGAGATTTCCGAAGCACAGAAAACTTGATTATTGTCTTTATAATGAAATGCAAACTCAGATTGGGATTTAGCTGACGTCAAATAGTCCATTGCTTGTTATGCTGTGAATCAACTCAAGTCTCGAGTCATATATTTTCCCTGTTGAAATTCAAAATTCATATTTCATTCACAGCCATACAGTCCATACACACACACACACACACACACACACACACACACACACACACACACACACACACACAACTGAACAGGCTTGCATGAGCTCACCATCACACAGGCAGCCTACCAATATTGGTTGTTGCCTCAAATGAACATGCTGTGAGAGTGTGTAGAGGATACAGGGCATGACATGCTGAAGGCATGGCACACTCGAACTGTGATGACCCTTACCTCACCCCACACTTCACAAGGTATTAAGAGCATTGTCTTCCAGCTGCAAACAAACAATTATATACTATTGTTACTTGTTACTATATTTCTTTTGTTTTAAAGCTGACACATTGAATGTTCAAGGTTTTTTTGATTTACATATTGGTTTAGAGACATTTTGTCCTTGAAATAAATCACATTCTTGTGTTAACATTCTCTGCTTGTTCCTCCAAAACATCCAGTACCTTCAATCTGACTGGCATGCAAAGCTGTGCAAGCCAGCAAAGACATGATGGACAAAACAGAAGCTAGTGGGAGGCACACACGGGAGGTCTCTCACTGAAGTTCTCATCAACACACCTCGTGAGATTAACAGTGTTACCAGTACTAGTTAAATATTCAGCATTCTTGCCTGTGGCACCTCAAAGTCCAGTATGTGGGAATTTGTACATTTCATATACATGTTAGGTAATTCTTTGGTGTGTGTATATAACATCCCTCTGGCACACAGTGGAAGAAGCTGTATCCCTTATTTGCATTCTGATACTATCCTGTTGGTCCCCCAGCTGTGGTCCAAGAGAAATGAGAAACACTACAGAACAGTAGAAGTGACTGAAGGAGCCAAGCTTGAATTACTGTTATTTTCTCACAAATGGAACCACCACCATCTCTCTGAGTTAGTCATGTCACAGTTGCAAGATAGGAATCAGTGCAGGCGAAGACACACGGTAAGCGTAGGAGTTTTAATGCAGCTTCATTCAGACTCCTTACCAGTGTTGTTCACAATAGGCTCAATTAAAGTGAAATGTCTGTCCAAATCAGCTCTTTAGAAATCTGACCGTTATTGCTTTTACAGCTTCTTGTTAATTAGGTGGTGTCATCATAAGCTGCAATTTTCATAGCCAATGTGTCAGTTTTGACAAAAGACGAATGATTGAGTGCTTTATCGTGTGACCAATTTGGTATAATGATCAAATACAGGAGTTTGTGTTTGCACCTCATGAAGGCTGATTAATATACAGAAAATGTTTTCCAAAGGCAAATATTTGAATACTTATACGTTTGGTATTGGATTCTGAAGGGCAGTTTAGGAAATTAACATTTACATTTCATTTTACATACTGTATTAACTGATAGCACCAAAGGTCACATACAAGGTCATTTACAGTACAATGAACTACTCTGCTTTTACTAGAAAAAGGATGACTTAACTATAACTTTTCATATTTGCTCGTAAATTGTCACTTAAAGGCCAAATTCAATATTCAAATAATTCCTGGCTGCCTGCTAAAAACACCAGTGATAGTGAAATACCCATTAGTCACAAATGCCAGTTATTCAAATATGTAACAAAGGCATTGAGACCTCATGGAAACTAGCGCTGTGCCGTCATGGAAACTAATGCACAATTTACAAAATTTACACCAGCACTGCTGCCCTATTGCTGTGCTCCAGAGACAGTTTTCAGTGAAAATGTTTGGTTTTTTTGTCTGCCATCATGAAGTGCCTTTACCAGATTGAAAATATTATATTCCCAAGAATGAATTAAAGGGGTCATACATAATGTAAAGCTCATGCAGGTGTCTCAACCCAACATTAATATTATCATTACTCCAAAGGTCATGCTAAAGGTGTTTTTGATAACACACAGAATGGGACAATGAATTATTAGGAACAACATCTCCACAGCCTAGTCATTTAAATATAATTAAGCTTTGCCAGTGTAAGATATGTTGAACTATTGCATACATATTAAATAGAATGCAAGGGAAGTGTGCCAGAAAAGCAATCAATTTGGCAGGTGCATTGTCGCTGGATTTGGAAAGTGCAATGACTCATCTGAAAATGGAGGACACTCAGAAACAAAGCAGCGCCACAGAGGGTACACAGAGGCTCTAGTGTTGCCGATTATACAGTGCCCTGCTGTGGCTCTCCATTACTCTAGTACTCAAGTGTTTGTGTTTGGATGCTGGGTTGGAGTACTGATGCTATCATACTGTAACAGTGTGCCGATCCGAAGTAATCACAGCTAAAATTAAACAATAAGATGTTCAGTGCACATCCCAATTCTCCCTTTAAAACCCAGTGGAGGGTTTGTTGTCCTTCCAAGCCCATATTCATAGTACAGTATGTTGAATTTTACAAATAAGTAATACTGATTTGTAGATGGATTTACTTTACAATACTAAAGCTAAACACAAAACTGCAAATGCCCGGTCCTGACATTCAAATAAAATCGTAGAGGATAAAAACACACTTACACTAAAAAACTATTTTGGTCCTCGTCAGAAAGAGAGTAAAATCTAAGATCTTCAAGACAGGATAAAAACATACAAAATAAGCAAACAAATCTACTAAACAGACTCCATATTGATTATTTAATAACAATTGCATACTTATTGTAATCTCTGATAAAGTTGAAACTGTTGACTGAGTAACCAGGAGCTGCATTCTTTATACATCTGTAAGTGTGACCTAACTTGACTGATGGATGATGGGAAAACAACATACAGAAAATGTGCAAAAAAACAAGCAAACACTAGAAGCAGACGTCTACGGTTAGGGTTTACAGTTTTTGATACTATATATGAGCTGACTATAATTTTAGTTAATTGCACTTTATTTGACGAATTCCTCTTTTCACTGAAGGATGTGTGAATCCAAACAGCCCGTTGACAGATTTTAATTTTGATCTGGATTTGTATTTAAAAAAAATGCTGTACATCTAATAGAAACACCAGAATTGTCTCACAGATGGAACTGTAGCTATGGCAAAATGGCATAGTCTTGAAATTTTACGTTTTCCTTGTTCCCATATCTGGGTATTTGGCAATTCACCTAAAAGAACAAGTGATACTTCACATTTAGCAACACAACTATGCACAAAAACATTTTTTGGCATTACTTTAGCAATGAGTCCTAATCTCATTGTGCAGATTTGCTCTGACTTGGCTCCATCCAGCTCTAATGCAGGAGTTGCTCATAACCAAGTATTATAGCTACTTGTTTGAGTGAAGAACTTTGAAAAGACATTCAAACAAATGGTATCTGGTACAGGGTTATTTTCTTATATATTGCTATGAAATGCATTTGGAAATTTACACTGAAATAGCAATGGAAAGCATTCTCCAACTGTTTAACATGCAGTGCTGCATCAATATCCTAGGTTTTGGCTAATTGCCATTTTAACACAACAGAAATATCCATTGGTAGACTCAGTCTCCACATCACATCAGAGCTGTCACAGTTTACATAATAAATGCTAATCATTAATGAGAGAGCTGAACTCGTACAGTTGGATGGCTTCACAGCCTCACAGTCTGTTTGGCAGAGCCGCTTGCGAGATGAAGGGTGTTGGCATTTACCTTATGCTCCAGATCCACAGAAGCTCATTGAAATGCTGTGGGTGTGCCTCGTCGTGACAGTATTTTGACTTGTTAAATTTTTCATCTCATTTTCAAAAGCACCAAGCTGGTTAATCCATGCATCACCGTACCCCACCCTCATATCAAAATGTATTGAGCAACTCATTTTAAACATCACTGTGCAGTAATCATCCCTGTAAGAATGTTAGCATTAAAAGGAAACATTAATGTTAAGTAACCAAAATCAAAATTAAGGCAACTGTATTACGTAAGTAGTTGCTGTTGCAAAGGGACAGAAGGAAAAGTATTGTGTAATGTAATTATATACATATTAAATGTTTGCTTGCTTCCACTTCCTTTTGAATACATTTCAGTTATTGTTGTGTAAATATGCATTAAGATTGCTTTAAAATGAGGTTTACTTAAATTTTCTTGCTAAAGGTGAACAGACCCAAAATAGTGTCACATCTATTCTGCAGTATCAAAGCCGTATTAAAGCAATTATTTTAGAATAATATTCCCCCTATGAATATAAATGCATTAGGATCTTCACCTATCAGAATTATTGACAATACCCCTGCGAAAATAATAGCTAGAGCCTGATGATCCACCGGGGTCCATTCAATAAGAGACAATGCATTTGAGAACATTTTAGAGAAACAATGCATGTGTCTGGAGATGAGTCATAATTGAAGTGAAAGTTTCTTTACTGAGCATTGTAAACTTTGTGATAAATGTGGCATCTGGGCTCATTTCCATATAAAAGGCTGTAACATAGAAAATAGATGACAGAAAATAACTAATTACTTTCCGAAAACGACTTCACCATAAGTGGTGCAGAGTACAGTACCATAAAGTAGATTTTAAAGGCTGAGTGCAGCCATGGTCCTTTTTACTAATTTTGCCTGATTGGACTTCACTTGAGAATTTAGTGGGTGTGTACTGCCTGTGCTTGATTGATTTCCGTCTGACCCTCCTATTAGTTTTGTTGTGTTGGTGTTTTGGTGGGAGAAGTTACACCTTTATCATTCTTATAGATTCATTAAAAGCCCATACACTGTCATGGTCCACCCACACAGGTGTTTTCAGTTAATCTACCTGATCAGTGTGTGTGTGTGTGTGTGTGTGTGTGTGTGGGTGGGTGTGTGCGTGTGTGTGTGTGTGTGTGTGTGTGTGTGTGTGTGTGTCTGTGTGTCTGTGTGTGTGTGTGTGTGTGTGTGTGTGTGTGTGTGTGTGTTTGCAAACTGCAATTGACACCTCTCTCACTCTCCTGTTAGTTTTGTTGCACCTGTTTGGGGCAAGACAACTTACATATGTATCATTATTATTAGTACACAGACATTTATGGCAGTCCACCTGCCTATAGAGATCCACTCAGCCAATGTAATTGCAGACACCTGTGTGGCTGTGCAGAGAGTTTAAGGATGGGATGGACTAGCTAGCAATGCCCCATTTAGTAGGGGCATTGATAATGTGATAATCTGGATAGCGTCTGATCCACGGGCCTTTGCATTTACAGCTTGGTATCAGCGTTCTCATTTTGATTTTGTTTGAGACTCAATGTACAAATTAGTCAGGCGGGGGTGGCAGACTTGACAAACATGGGTTGTCCATCGTCGAAGGAAGAAATGCCATAGGTGGGCATTATTCATTTTTGCGAGGGAAGACAGGCTTTTAAGCTTGCAGGAAAGAGCAGTGAGGTGATTTGCTGGGTGGATCTTTCTCTTAAGAGTGTGTGTATGAAAATGCATTGAACATCTTGCTGAGATCCAATGTAGTCTGGTCATTTATGGGGTCAGTATAATGTATAATGGCAGCACAATTACATACAGAAATGCTGCAGTAGAGGGTTTTCCTGCAAAGTGCTGCCTGTCATTTCTTTTCTTGATTCTTGAGAAGAATTTAGAAGGAAAAAAAAGCAACAAAAAAAGCATTATAACTTGTGAATCCTAATTAGAATATGCTTTTAATAGTGTGTTTTACACCACAGGTAAGCATAGCACATGTTGGACTAAAGGAAAGAGAAGGACCATTGATCTGTGGTTGTTAGCGGAACCATCCATTGAGCTCATGCTGTACATCATGAAATGTGATTCAATCCAATCCAAAGCAATTTATTGTTGGCTATTATCCTCAAAATACGTTCTACAAAAGCATAAAAAAAAGCATGTTAAAAGAACAATTTATCATATCTGTTTTCCTTCATAGTCAATAACTTAGTATAGCCACTAAGCAGTCAAATAAGCCTCTCCTATTCAGACTGCTCTATGTGAAGGGAATACATGCTGTACTTCTCTCCTCTACCTTTCCCTCAGTCACTGTCTCTCTCCCTGCCTGTCCCTAAAATGTCCCTGCTGGGGATTCTATCTTCTGGTTCCTTTTGAAGCAGTGGCCTCTCTTTGCCTCCATTATCTTGTAATTTGTGAGGGATTACGCTCTGGAGCACACACAGTCCACCCCGTTGCTTAAGAACTGTGACAGCTTACAATAATTGCCATGCTAATTAGCAGGAACTAGCCCAGCGCGCTTCTTTCCCTCACCAGACCTGATTTGATGAATATGCTTTGATTAACGTCTGTGTTTCCATAACTTCCGCACCACTGTAATTAAATGTATCACTGACGATAGTGACTGACTGATAAACCTTAACAAATAAAATGTAGAGGCTATTGTTTTTGAAGGACAAAGAGAGAGAAAGTCTGCATTCAAACCTGCCTGAAAAAGGTTTTATATTATAGGTGTTGGGCCAGTGTACAGAACAGTACTGTAATAGCAATGAGATCAATGCAAACATCCCTGGAGTGTGAAGAAAATTATGATTAGCTCAACTATAATGACTTGAAGAGGCAACCTTTAACCCAGGATGCAGTTGTCAATTGATCGAGGTGTGTTACTCTTTTCTATCAACAGCATTACATCTGTATGTAGAACATGGCAATAATTACGACCAACAAGCAGATATGCACACTGGCTGAAAACGAATAGAAAGCTGTAAAGTGGCTTTTTCTTCTTTTCCCAGCATCGCATGGCACACATGACCAAGTGAGAGGGGCAAGATCGACCACAATTTGTTCTTATTATTATTATTGTATATTATTGTAAGAATATAATGATGCTTCAAACTGACAAACATGTGAAAAACATTTCTGTCTTCGTCTAAGTGATTGCCTACTGACAAACTGTCAGATCTACAGTTTGTCTTTGTTTGGCAAAATTGTTGTAATTTGTTATTCTGCGATGAAGATTTCTGCAGTTATTCTGAAGGATGAATCTGCAATACAGGCACAGCTGAGTTGGCCTCTTTAGAGTCCTGTTGTTTGTTGCATATCGCCTTGAAAACACACATAAAATAACAAATGTCGCTGCTTCTGTTATTCAAACGAACTATTCACTGTGTGAGCATGTGATTTAGTTGCTTCAGCATTGAAGTCCTGTTCCATTGGGTGTTTACCTTATTTTGTGTAACCCCATGCAGCTCTACTGTGTATTAGCCTTGCTTGTGATTGAGTTTCCTGGTCAATACAGCTACTCAAAAACACTTCTTCTCACAGGTGACTAAGTAACTCATCTTTGAAATCCTCCCTGTCTGACACATTCATTACAGCAATAACCCTCCCATCACCCGCTCTGTCAGATATGCTCATACCTCAGGGGACCTAATTGCTTGAAGTAAGCAGGGACTTCAAAGCCACATACAGAGAACTGACCTTCAATACCTCAAAAATCTCTGCAGCTACAGTTTTCTACATAGAATAGTGGAGCTCGAAAATGTCTAGAATGAATGACCTTTAAAGCAGAAGTAGGGTACAGTTAAGGGTAGAAGGTTAAATGTGGCTGTGGTGTGCAGGTTTCTGTCTGTCTGGTTTCTGAGTCTTGTCCAAACTTCGTTACCGTCTGCCTGTCAGAAGCTTAGGAGAAAAAAAAAGACAGCTCTAACCTGTTTGAACATCACCTGGTGCAGCAAATACTTCCATCTAGTGTACAAAAGAAGAACTAGCACAAAGTAATTTGGTCAAGGGGTTCATTAACACTAAACTCAAGACCAACATCTAATCAAATAATTTCAAGGGCTGAAAGAGAAGATAAGATTATGATATAGTCATATTCTCTCCAGTGCAGCCTAAATGTTGACATCTAGACACACAGAGACTTTGTTAGAATTAATATACATAATGGGCACAGACCCTACTTTCAGTTTTGGAACTTTTTGGAAGTGAAAACAAAGGAATGCACCAAAGATGTTATTATTACCCAATGCAATGGCAAAGCTGGTCCAGGAAGTGTGATAATTGTCTGCAACAGACAGTTTGGGTAGTTAATATTAACGGTAACATGACAAATGTGGGGATTTGATGACAGTCTTAGTTGTGTTAGTTGAAGATTATGTTGATTCTTAAAAGCCCACCAATGAAAAGGGGGGCTTAGCTTGTATTACTACTTGTTTGTTGCTGTGTATTATTTTCAGGGTTGGGAGGGTTTAAAAATGTAATCAGTAACGTAACTTGAATATGCAAATAAAGACAAGAGATCGATTACAAAAAGACGAATTCACATATTCTATAAGACAACAGAACAATGTAACCTTAGAAAAGATAATGGAAACCAAGATCTGAAGGTGTTCTCTGCTCACTGAATTTCTAAAGAAAAACCATTTTCACAGCTGGAAGGCAAAACTTGTACTATACTGTGATGTTGTTCCTTTTTCTGCTTTCAAGACAAAAAAAAAGGGAAATTGTGGAATATTATTTTTCAGTCGAGGCTATAAAAAGTGCCCTGAGATAACTTCTGAATAATAATAATGAATTAATCCTGCTAACAAATCCCCATTTTTACTAAATGTAACTTGATTACAGTTACATTTCATGTCTCCATTCCCTGTAATATGTTACTCACCCAGCCTGATTATTTGTTTGTTTGTTTGTTGTTTGTTTGTTGGGGTGGCAGGGCCTCATTCAGCTAGCCTTGTCCCTGCGTGCACCAATTTAGCAGCTGTTTGGTCACGTGATGGACACTAACGTCTGTCAGCTGATTGACATGATCAAATTTCGGCTGTGAAGTGTGTTGTGTGTCTCTCAGCTTTAGCTTAAGGAGCCCAAAGTCTGCGAAAGTTGGGTGAATTAAGAGTTTGAAAGTCCATACCCGTAAGTCTAAAGTTGTTATGTCATTCTAACGTTAGCTAACAAGCTAATTGACCTAAGTTAAGTCAGTTAGTTAAGCTAGCTCGTGTTTTCGAGTAAATTAGCTCCAATTAGCTCCTCTTGGAAAGGTTGTGTTGTTAGTTTTAAAAATCTGTTTCCACTCCACACTCAAGCTAAAATAAATTCAACAGGCTTGCGTTAAATGACTAACATAAGAGTTATTAAACATCTAAAGTCGTATTCGCTTTTACTGGTTGCAGGCCTCTGTCTAATAGTTGTCATATAAGTTATCTCAGGCAGGGAAAGTCCAGTGGTGATGGAGGCAGACACACTTGAGGACCAGCTTCTCCTCCATGCTCAGGAGGGCAGCTGTTCTCATATCCAGAGGCTCCTCCAGTCGAGGATCGACCACGGCAGTCCTCCCAACATCAACTGCAGATGTAAATGAAAATAATCTTATTTGTAGCCCGTTAGCACGACTTCAGGTAGCTACCACAGGTGAGTGTTAATGTTGCTTTCTGTCACTGTAGCTAGGTCTAAAGCCAGTTCAGGATGGACACCCCTCCACCTGGCCTCTTACTTTGGACACAGGGATGTTGTGGAGGAGTTACTCAAGGTAAGAGCTCATATTACTCTGTATGTTAGGTGCATATAGTACATATAGTATTTGCAGCTAGTGAGATCAACTTCATGAAACACATTTGCAGACAGGTGCTGATGCAAATGTGCAGAATGACATGGGTGACACGCCTCTTCACAAAGCAGCCTACACTGGAAGAAAGGTAAAACATTAAAGAATTCAATTCACCGTCAGCCTCTGTATCATAATAATAGGTCCTGTTTGCATCGTAACCTGTGATTCACCTTTGTCTCACCCAACCAAAATGTCAGTCAGAATCACTATTACAGACTTTCCTCCATTGATGCTTTTGATTGATGAAAGGTGATGGTCAGATTTTTCTTTTTTCTATACTTTGAACCCTTAAGGAGATTGTTCTGTTGCTGCTGCGGTATGATGCCTGTTCCAACATAATCAATGGAACAGCTCAGATCCCTAAAGATGTCACAGAAGATGATGAAATCATTACAATGCTGGAAGGTATGAAATGATGGGGAGTGTTTTTTTCCTTCTCATTACTGTAGATCAGTAGCCCTTGTTCTCACATCGTGTTTGGTTTGTGCAGCTGCAGAGAGAAGAGAGACAAGACGGCGGGAGGAGAAGCTTCTGGAGGCAGCTAGAGAGGGGGACATCTCCACAGTGTCTAAGCTGGTTAGTGTCTGACCTTTCTGAAAACTTCGGCAGAATATGTTTCACTTTGGCAGCATCTGTTCCTTTCAGGCTGCTGAGATTGTTAAAATGCACAATTACATTTATATTTGTCAAGATTCTGGTCGCAAAAATCCAACATGTTTGATGTATTCTCAAAAGATCTGACCTGTCAGGAGGTGATAGTTTAAGACTGTCCTCTGAAAACCGTTGTTGCTTCCATATCAGAATTATAATTGCCCCGTTTTCTGTGTATGTTGTTACCGGCTGTCTTTAGTTATTTAGGTACAGATACGTTTCCATTACAGTTAGAGGTAAATGCTGGTGTCTTCTGCTTCGGTCTGTCGTTCAACTGTCTTCTGATCTTCAGCTCAGTGGAAAAGGAGCTCCAGATATTCACTGCAGGGACTCGGTGGGGAATACGCCCTTACACTGTGCAGCCTACAGAGGGCAGAAGCAGTGCATTTTAAAGCTGCTCAAGTCTGGAGCAAGCCCCAGTATTAAAAACAACAATGGTATTTATCTTATCTTTGAACATCACCTCTTGTTATTATGACCAATGTGTTATCAGTACAATAATGCTTACAATGGTCCATCACAATTTGTTTTCAAAGAATACACGTTTTTGTAAATACTGTAAAATATTTTATTGCATGGCTGATTGTGTTGCAGATCAGACAGCATTAGACCTGGTCCGCAGTGATGAACTGAGACCGATTCTAGCGGCCTTTCAATACAAGGTAGGGACAGATAAGTAGTTTTTAATCACCCCATTAATCAAATGAGGTTTTCCTTTTTCCAGAAGAAAAACATGGTTCAGGTACAGAAACGAATGTTCAGTAGCAAAATGTTCCTCTTTGAATGTAATAAACATTTAGTGCATGCAGTCCTACTTGAGCTATCAGTTCTACACAGCTATTAAATTTGGTATTTGAGTCATGGCCCACAAAGCATGTTTTCTAATTATTGTAGTGATCTTCTGGCCTTACCGAGCAGCACAATCGAAGCAGAATCTAGCCAGGAAAAATCTAAATCTAATGAACAGATTTCTGTGAAATTTACTGAGCTCATTCCTGTTTCCCGGGAGATTAAACATTCCAATTTCTGGCACTGCTTGAGCAAATAACTAAATTTTTTTTGTACTTAAAGTCAACACATGGTGTGTTTAGCACCTTAATCACAGATGAGATGTTTGCATTTCTCTTTCAGGAAAAAGTGGAGTTTGCTATGCTGCACCTGGCCTAAAAATCTGTGCCCACATTTATCTTTGTGCACTTCTTCTTCTCATATATTTCTATACATTTTCACTTCAGGTCTGGTGACTGTGAAGAAAATGCTTTGCAAGTCAGCAGTCCTTGCTCTTGCTTGGATGTCTGATTTGCCTGGCACAGCTTCACTGCAGAGCATTGCATAGTCATGGTGGAAATAAAAAAGGCTAAGCACTTAGCTGTTAAGTAAATTAAAAAATATACATTTACCTCTGAAACTGTGCAGGTTTTTACTGTAATTCAAAACTGAAGTTAGTGTTTCTGGTCTCACCGGAAATTCTTCAGCACTGTCCATCAGGCTCTGACTGTACACAAGTCTGAGGATTATTATTTTTTCCCACAAAGGATGTGAGCAGTGGGGTGCAGAAGATTGAAGGCCCTCTTTGGAAGGTACCCAGATGTTGAAGTGTATTCTTGTTTACACTTAATATGTCAGGCAATGGTTTTGTTCCCACTCCTACACGAACATACTTTATTTTTTTTTTTGTTACTCAACCCACAATATCATCATTATACACAAAAACTGTCTTCAGAGCCTTCCTTATTATTCATTGTTTTGTATTTCATGTCTGTGTTCTCTGTGAATAATAATTATAATCTGTTGTTGAATTCTTGCGTCTCTGTCAGAGTTCACGCTTTCTTGGATGGCGATCCCACTGGGTGGTAATTGAAGATGGAACTCTCTCCTGGTACCACAGACAGTGAGATAACTTTATATGTATGCTGTTTTTTTTAAAGATTATAGTATGAACATGTATAGTGTATTTTTTAATGCCATGCTAGAAAGTCTTGGTACTCCACCTTTGATTCACTGTGTGTATAAAAAAAAAAAAAAAAAAAAAAAAAAAAAGCTAACAAGGAACTTCAATTTTTTGTTGATCTGGCCACCCATGTAGACAAAAGCGGTAGAGTTTCTGCCGCCTCTTTCGATTGATTTCAAGGGGAACTGAAAATTACATTTAAAATAATTATATAGAAATAAGCAATCTTCTCACTGATGGGGTTGTTTGTTTATGTACTGTAGTTTATATAGAGACATCAGTATTAAATTGAGACTGCTTCATAACCAGTTAGAAAATAAAATAGTTAATTTAACCAGACAATGCCTTGTTACTTGCAGTAGCTGAAATATAAGAGCGTGCCTGTGTGTTGGGTGTCTGATGCCATGTCAAAATGTCTTTGTCTGTGTGTTCTGCATCTGTTTTTTTTCTAGGGCTGATGCACTGGCTGGTGTCAGAAAACAGGGCTCCAAGTCCCTATCTCAAGCCTACTGCATGGTAGGTAGTAGAGGTTACAGGCTTGTTGTAAATAACCTTCATGACGACACCAGGATTCAGTTGTGAACACATTGTCCTTATGACATGATGATGTTTGACATCTAGTGCAGCAAGCAAGACTCTGGGTAATTTCATTTTGTCATTCTAGGTCAAACCATGGGATCATTGCTTCTTCATGCTCAGGTGCTTTGATGACGCTGTACATTATTTTAAGGTCCCCTCAAAGACAGATTCAATCGCAACAAGAAAAGTGAGATGAGATTCACCTTCTATGCTGTTGCTATACCCCCACCTACTGACTGATTTGTCTATGCTGCAAGGCTGGACAACATTGTAAATGTTACCGATACTTGTCCACTTAGAGATGGCTGGATGCTTTTGAGGCGCATTCCTCCTATAGCACTCGCCACCACACCCATGAAGACACCATCGATGATGCAGATGGTAATGGTGGCGACACAGTGAGGAATCTGTCACACGCCCTTCAGGTAAAATTAAGTTCAGGCTTTTTTTTAAAAAAGGTGTATTATTAGGTGACAGAAGGACTCAAATGTGGAAGTGTCTCTCTTGTCCTGTGCTCCTGCAGGCAGCCAACGCTATCCAGCAGAAATTGGAGAGTGAAGTGTCAATATTTATATCGATGGTGAAGAATGAGAAGAATTGTGGTAGGAGTCCTGGCATATACCCATGTAGTTAATCCAGTGTCGTTTTTTTTATTTTGCCTGTTTTTATACTAGTGCAAATTAAATGTTCAGTCAATTGACAAAAAATTATTTGCCAACAATTCTGATAGACTTAACTCTGTGGTTGTCGATAAGGGGTTGATTGGAATGGAAAATAAAGGAGAATGGGGGGGGCATTTCAGCTGCAGTTTTTCTGATTTGAATCGAATGAAAGCTGAACATCGTTTATAGACATGCGCAATCTATAATGAGGAGTCAGGAGTAGGCATTGCTCAGATATAAAGTGTCACAAGCCAAAATGATTGACACCAATACATGGCAAAATTAAATGTTTGTTCTGTTTTCTGCTTCTCAAATGGGAGAATTTTATGTTTTTTTAGTTATTATATTATATATACATGTATATTATTTAGTTATTTTCAGCTTTTATTTCTAGGTTTCTAAATCTTTGTGGTATGGATTGTTTTCTGACATTATGTTGACTAAATGATTAATTGATGAGTCAAAAAAATAGCGCACAGATTAATCAGAAATAACCACTACTTGCAGCCAAATTTATACAGCTGCACTGAAAATTGTTTTATTTTTTTTCTGAAAGAATTGGCTACTCCTCTGTCACTGAAAGCCAAAGAGACCAGTGAGCTCTCCAGTGAAACCTGTGCTGCTCTCCATCTGTGCCTGGAACTGCTATCAAAGCAAGAGGAGGTAGGGAAGCGTCTACATCATCTTAATCAAGCCTACAGTATATCAGCATGTACTGTACAGGATTGGGCAAACTAAAAATCAGCATACAATAAAGTTCACTGGGGTTTGGGCAATATTATCCACCATCATACCAGCCCTCACATATTATTAAATGCAGCCAGAAACATAAAAACTTTGCAATAATTTATCTAAAATACTGTATTATTGTAATGTTTGCTACAAATGTGAAACAGTGTTGGCCTTGTGCTGCAATCTTGTGCTTTTCAATTCAATTCAATTTTATTTGTATAGCGCCAATTCATAACAGAAGTTATCTCAGGACACTTTTCAAATAGAGCAGGTCTAGACCGAACTCTTTAACATTAATTACAGAGACCCAACAGTACCACCATGAGCAAGCACTTGGCGACAAGGGCAAGGAAAAACTGCCTGTTAAAAGGCAGAAACCTAGGACAGATCCTCCGGCTCTAGGTGGGTGGTCGTCTGTCTCGACCAGTTGGGGTGAGAGAGAGAGAGAGAGAGAGAGAGAGAGAGAGAGAGAGAGAGAGAGCGACAGACAGACAGACAGGTGCACAGCAACAACAGTATTGGCAATGGCAGTCAAGCAGGACCATGGCAGGAGGCTCCACCAGGATCCATGAGAACCTGCGAGACGAGAAAGCACAAGAACTCCGGGGAAGAAGTGGAGTTAGTAACATGCATTAAAGGGACATGAATGAGTGCAGAAAGAGAGAGGAAGAGAGTAGCTCAGTGCACCATGGGAAATCCCCCGATAGTCTAGGCCTATAGCAGCATAACTAAGGGATGGTTCAGGACTCACCTGATCCAGCCCTAACTATAAGCTTTATCAAAGAGGAATGTCTTAAGCCTACTCTTGAAAGTGGTGAGGGTGTCTGCTTATGTTATAGTTTTGGAAGCTGGTTTTCTTTTTCCGATTAGCTGCATCCCACTGAGCATGTCTGAATCTTCCTCTCATTGACTCCCATACCTTAGCCCATGTGCTGTGCTCCTATTGGCTTAATAAATTATAATGAATGATTACAAAATCCTCAAGCTCCTCCCCCTTACGTTAGCTCCCTCCATAGCAATCAGGTTTGAAGTTTGTGAGTGCCAAAGTGTGTGTGTCCCTATCCACCTGTCCCGGTGGCTGTGCCGTGCCCTTGGGGGAGCAGTGGAACCGTGTGGTAATCACTGGCATGTCTGTAGGAAGGACACAGGCAAGATCCGCTTTTATGCTTAGGTCTGCATTCAGCTTGCAGATCAGTGTAGAGACACACACACACACAGACACACACATACACCCTTGGACTTGGATCCACACACTCCCGCTCTAGGGAAAGGCTGTGCATTGAGCGAGGGAACTGAAGCGCGTGCATATTCACAGGCTCAGCTGGAGATGCATGCATTCACCCTCACACAGTGAGAATACACGCTCGCAGGCACACTTCCACATGCCAGAGCATCCGAGCGCAGAAGGAAGAAGAGACAGTGACGGCACTCTCCTCCAGTATCTGCACAGGTACAAACCACACACTTCTTGTCTTCTTACATCTCATTGTTCTTTATTGTCAGCTAAGCAAACTGGCTGTGTTTGCAACGTGCTGTTCCATTTTGACTTAGCGTAAGGTGTTTGAAGTTTGGCCCAGATTAGATTTAGTCTGATGTTTTTAGCGTTTTGTAGATATGATTGCTGGCCTGAAGTGTTGGCATAGGCGAAAGCTATTCATTAATATGCGGCGGTAATTCCTATGGATGTGACGATTTGAGTTTAGAGTGTGAAATTGAACATGTTTGAGGTGGTACTGAACGCTACACAGCTCGTTGCACCTTTTTTAATGAGATCAATTTATAATGTAAGGAATTCTGTCAAAGTGAAAACATGGGAGGGATAGATTAAATTGCATTGAGGACTTATTTGATATGGTGATTCTGAAATTTAAGCTTTTAAGATAAAGAGTGTGGGTCTCACCATTTTAACGTAGCAGTAGTTCTTTTGTGATTTACATTACTGTTAATTATTAATATTTTACTATTCATTTTAAATTGGCGCTCACAATACCACACTAAAATGTTGAAACTGTGTCTACTCATTGCTGGTTGTAGTATGGTATGCACTGCAACTCTCATTGTAAAATCATCTGCAAAGAAGCAGTTAAGATTATATCTATATTAAGACGCAACTAAGGACTCCTGTGTCTACGTGTGTGGTTTTGTATAATACTTTGAAGATAACTGAATTAATTCCACATCTGATAGTGTAAAACCCTGCTTTGGAAGTCAGCTGGACATAATACTGCACAACAATGCTCCAAATGCATTATGTTTACACAGTGATGTGTGCATTGCCAAACCACATTATCTTAGTATGAATTGGCAACAGCTGCTGTCCTGTCACAAGGAATAACCTGGCATTGTTATCACGGGCAGGCTGAGAACATTCATTGCAGTCTCATCACCCAGGAAGCATTGGAAGTGTCAGAACAATGGACACTGGGTTCATTTCTGACAAAAAGCATAAGAAGAAAATGTCTTAACAAGCATGTTACATCGATTTGTCTCAAGCTAAGCTGGTGCTACTACGTGTACTAACAGGATTATATTTCCTACACTGCTGAGATTGCCTGTATTAGGCAGTATTAACTCTAATCCCACATTTCCATTGTCCCACCCCAGATGCCTCCATTTGCTGCCACTTCCACGTTTGTTTCCTGAAGTACATAACATGCAGTACTCGCATGCTGTTGTAACTGTGCTTTGATGTCTGGGCAGATGTAAAATAGTTTTTGCAGCAATTACAGTGTTACCCTTTAGCAGAATATATGTGGCCTGACCCATTTCAGCAGATGCTGCAGGAATAAAGTATGCTAGAGAGATTACCACATTTATACAATACGTGCAGGGCACAGTATGAATGGTTGGTTCTTGGTATTTAAAGTTGAGAGATTTGTGCTGCTAACTTTGCTTCTTTACAAGAACATTGTCACAAAGATCGAGCAGCATAGAGACAGTTCTGGGCAGAAACTCTCTTGGGGGTTGTGACAGTAACAGACACAGATTTATAAGCCCGACCTAGGCAGCAGGCTTCCACACCTGTCAAGAAAACAAATGGAGGCTTACAGCATGAAACCACTTAGTGGTGACACGCAGATAAGCAGATCTGTCAGTTTGTATTGCTCGGAAGGCAGGAAAATGACAGCATAGTATCTTTTCTTTTTTCTTAAATGTTTTTGTCCACAGTCTATAAGAAAGCCGATTGCCCTTCAAACCCTCAGGGATTGGTGGGAACACAAAGTACCGTTTGACCTTTTACTTAAACCATCACCACATGGGTAACTGACCTACTGACTGTCATCTCTCACCCAGGAGAGGTTTCTCTAGGCGCAGCTAAATGTTCTTGTATGTCCCTGCGCTGACTTCGATCTTTGTTGGGTCACACAAGATCTGTATAAGAGGAGGAAGTGTATATAAAACACTTTAAAAAAATTTTAGCCAAGGGTATGTATGTATGTATAGAGCGGTACCTGGAAGTATTATGTGTAATTGGTTACAGCACTTCTTTGCTGTGCCGGTGCGTACGTCATGCTCATATCAAAATTTTATTTCTTGCTCCCAGTTGTCATAGTCATATAGTTACACATACAGAGTACTGTATAGAGCTATAATAGATTTGCCTCTGAGATTTGCTTCCCCTTCAGCAGAGAAAAAACAAATTTTAGAACAAAGTAAAAGCGCTACCCTTTAGGGTGTTGGCCAAGGAGAAGCTTCCCTCCCAGGCTTCAGCAACAGCTACTGCACACAGCCTCAGCAGGGCTTAAAATAGCGCTGTTTGTGCTCAGGCGAGAGGATGCAGCGAGAGCGAAAGAGCTGGCTGGGATAGTTACACAACAAAGTGTTCTGTCCCTGGCTGGGCTCTTAAGCCAAGTGCCTGGGACAGGGAGTGTTAACACAGGCTCCTACACAGCAAGCTCATTTATGTTCCACAATACATTTAAAAAGATGCTTGGGGGAGATCGCAAGGACAATCTTTTTTTTTTTTTGGACACTCATGATATGTCAAATGGGTTTTATTTGCCAGTGCCACATTGTGTTATTGCTGTTGCTGATTGGACGCATGTTCAAGGTCATATTTTGGCAAATTGGCTGATAATCACAGCACAAACATTTTAAAACAATAGGATGACACTGGATTTCCGACCACATTTAGTTTCAATTGTGTTTTCCTTAGCATTAACCTTCCAATTAATTGTCTCGGAAACACAACTTTTTCTATATCTGTATGGAAGCAACAGAATCTGCACATCTAAAGTGATACTGTATTACTGTCTTCACAAAACATTACCTGAGCATACAGTATAGTAAGTGTGATGACAGCAAGAGCAAAGGTGTGAAGTTTGCCCTTGACTGTGGGTGTGAGACTGCGTGTGAAAGAACCTACTTTATGAGCTTCTGTCACAGATGCATGTGCGTTACTTTGTCTGGTTTTCAAGTATGCAAGTAAAGGGATACAGGTCTATATAAAGTGATCATAGATAACAAGTGTGATTGTGGCTTTCTAGCTACAGCAGATTTGTGTATTTGTAAAAACGGGATGATAAGCTTAATTTCAGATAAATTGAATGTTGCTTAAAAAGTTCTAATCGGAGGTTTTATATTTTGCTCTGTTTTAGGATCTGCATATTGTTGCAGAGGAGTCATTCTCACCGTTCTGCTTTGTATGTGTAATGACGTTTTGCTGAGTCAAATCTTGGGCACAAAAGAAATTAGGTTTACATTATGTAATTCATTTTATTTACATAATAAACCCTTAGCTTGTATTATGGGTGCTCCAATTGAATATGAATGGATTGGAATCAATCAATATTCAGCAGCCTTGTAGTTTGCTGATAAGAAAAAACAAAACTGCAAATGGATAAATATGTCACTGTTATCACTATCTCATCCATCATGTGTAATCTCCAGAGTCTGAAGCTGTTTATGTTCCTTACCATTATCTATATACTATATATTATGTATTGTATTATGATTTTAAACATGTCTTAGAAGAGATTAGCACTATTCAAACAAAATGGCAGGCAATAGGGTGTATTTCACATTTATTTCTTTAATGATAAATATTTTAGAATAGAATACCACCAAAATAATTTTTTTGACCTTGTTTATCACATACAATCTCCATGGCGGTCACTGAAACATTGTTCCCATAATGGCTAGAGCCACATATTATATATACCAGGCAACTGGTGAGTCACAGATACACTTACAGGCATGAATTATGACCCCTCTTGAGCACATCAGCAGATGCAATGACAGGTGTTCCTTTGTGCATGGCTGTGCACATAACTGATAATACTTCAGGCACTTTAAGGGATGAGGGTGAACTTTTCGTCTTTAATAGAAGACATTCTGGCCCTGCTTTACGGTCTCAGATTTACAGTGTGATTTACAAGCTCTTGTTTCTCTCAGACTCCGCTGCCTTCCTCAAGGTGACTTTTTCTAAACCATGGAGGCTATGTTCCTTTTCTTCTTTGCTTTGTGGGTGCTTTTTTTTGGTATGTTTATAGTACTTAAAATGCATTTGAGTTCAAGTGTCCTTTTTTAAAGTTTTTATTTCAAGTAAAATTCAAGTAAAATCGTCATTGTTATAGCCATCATCTTCTATATAATTCTTGGTAGCATCTATGGATTTTTATTTAGTTGCCTGTCTTCTGTTTAGTTAGTAAAAGACACATAACAGAAGCAATAGACAATAGGAAACACTGATATAGTCTGTCCTACAGTGGCCTGGCTCAGGTTGCTCTGAAGGGACACTCAATCCTGGGCTACAGAGCTCTCGGAGACTGAGGTGTTTGGTTCCGACTGGAGGAAACCAGATCTGTGGGCAGGGTCAGAACAATGACCTGCCATCAGAACCACAAAGCGACAGACACTGTGGCAGCGACAAAAGCAGATCAATACCTTCGTATCAATCAAACCATCAGTCAGTCATAAATTTGCCAACACTGTCCATATTGTACTCATGTTGGATCAAAATATATATGAGCATATCCTCTTCATTCACTTTAGCATGTCTGTGGGGTTTGCTTGTGTGTTTTATCTGTCCAGTGGTCCTGTGTTTGCAGGTGTGGAGTCTGAAGTTAGAGCAGGAGGTGGAGAAGAACAAAGCTCTGACAGAAGCTCTGCGGACATTGGCAACTGATCACCACGAACTCAAGCAGTCCCTGTGTAAGACCAGAAGGTTGTCTAACCTCAGTACCCTCACTGAAGATGACTTCTATGACGCTGTGTCAGGTCAGCAGCCCCAAGGTGGACAGTTAGTGAAGTAATCAAGAGGTCATCATTTTACTGGGGGTTACGTGAGATCAGTAATCATTGCACTATGTATTGTTCCTCATACAGTGTCTTGTCTTAAGTCTCAAGCATTATCTGGAGTATTTTCTTCACTGGTAATTTTTCTAGTATTACTTAAGTTGCATGTTTAATAATAGTGAGTTAAATGCATTGTTCATCTCTCCCATTGCAGAGCTTTCCTTTTTAAAGATGTCATGTTGAGTTTTGACCTCTAGTAGCACTATAAAGCAACTTTTATAAGTGGGTCCCCATTTTGTTAGCACTCCTGCTGTTGGTTTCACACTGTTCTGCTGCTTGACTGATAAATGCTAAATGCTGTGAAGTGCCCAAAAAAAGTACAGCAATGTGCCACAAAAAGGGAAGAAGAAGAAGAGTGCAAGCTTTCGAACATGGATGTCAAAAATATAGTTTTAAACATTGAAAATGTTTTATGAGAAAGATAACTCCACAGGGCATCTTTAGGATTTGTATGTACATACAGTTCTCACATAACAGAATAATGAGTGTGTGTGTGGTTGTATCCAACACTCTGTCAGTCTCTGAGATTGCCCAGACAACAAGTACAATTCATCAGTAGTTAAAAGATGATTTGAGACTGTTTACTACCCTGTATGTTTACCATGTACAGTATTGTCTGTGGATTGTACAGAGTTTGCTGCGTCGCATGCTTAAAAGGCATGCCACGGTGAATTTGCACAATAGACTTCCTTGTACAAAATGTTTGTGTACTTTGGGCCAATCTTTCTCAGGAATCATTGCATTATTCATAGATAGCCCTGAGTTATCTACTAGCCAGAGACACTCTGCCCGTAGACTCGGAGCTGTGCTCAGCATATATATGAGAATGTTCACAAATGCCAAGTTTAGTGTGTAAACCCCAACCACGTGTTTTTGTTTATATAGAGGAAATTTATGAAGCTGTGTTGTATCTGCTGCCACCATCAACGCAGTGCATATGGTACAGCCATGCAGCTGTCTGAAATTGAAATTTCTGTCAACACATTACTCAGTATACAAGTACAGGCACTTACAATAAGCACTCATAACTCAGATTAGCTTATACAAATATCACACTGTTCTCCCCTCCCTTTATTTATGTACCTGTACTGTCACTGACAGTGCTGGCAATGGGAGGAGTAGCATCCAGCAAGCACAGAGCAAACAATGTTGGAGGAAATGAAGCCTCTGTGTGGCCTCTCATTGGAACACAATCCTCAGGTGGGGTTTGGCTGGCAGCGGGGAGGGGGAGTTTGGAGAGGAACTCGAGCACAGGTGCTTATTTGCGGACAGTGTGTTGTTCAGGCTGCAGCTTCTCGGAGCCAGGCCACTCAAACTTGTATGTGTATTTGAGTGTTGACCTGGCACACTTGGCATGATCTGGCATCTGCCCCCCGTTGTCATCCCACAGAGTCGGAGTCGGAGCTCTCAGTGAGCGGCTTCCTGTCTGTGGCCAGTCACTCCTGTGAAGAGGACGAGGGGAGAGACACCCCCCTTCTCAGCAGCCTCCGCCATCCCACCGCACTCAGGGGGCCTACCGGAATGTCAGGGGAGGGTGACCATGGCAACCAACCAGCCCAATACAATGGAGTCAAGAAGCACAGGTGGGACACGCTCCAGTTATATGATGTCATGCTTGTTTACTGGCTTAAATGATGGGAAAGAGACTAGTGGAAATGTAATGTCGGCCGCGCTGAGTGCTCTCCAGACGACCCATTCACTGTTTATTATGTACAAGGCTTCATTTAAGATAATTACCACAGCTGCTAGCAGGAATCAGTAGAATATAACTTTTACATTGTTGAGCAACTTGAACATCGTACATGTGGCTTTTTAGTATGCGTGTATGATGATAGGTTGCAGGTCTCAGTCAGCAAGAGGATGGGAGAGTAAATGGCAGAGTTGGTGTAATGAGATACCACTTTTCCACTCTCACACTCAGTCTGTTTTTGTAGTCAGGTGTTATTGTTTGAGCACCCAATCCACAGAGAATAGCCTGTTTTGTTTTTCCTACCAGATCTAACTCTCCATGTGAACAATCAACATAGCGCTTGGCGTTTTGGTGGGGGTGGTGGTGAGGGTTTCCTGAAGATTTGAAAATCTCTTTCATTTCCGTGGATGCTGATTCTGGCCTGGCCCCTCTTCCTTAATCCAACAAGTGATCCATGAATAATTTAGCATGTGCTGGCTCAGAGTAGGAGTTGGAGGAAAGGGGACTGGCTGGCTGGCTGGCTGGCTGGCTGGCTGGCTGGCTGGCTGGCTGGCTGGCTGGCTGGCTGGCTGTGTGTGTGTGTGTGTGTGTGTGTGTGTGTGTGTGTGTGTGTGTGTGTGTGTGTGTGTGTGTTGTGCATTAAAGATTTATGAGATGTCTGTTTATTTGGAATTACTCCTATCATTTAAAGATACGTATGTCCCCAGTTGCCTGTAGATGGTCCTAAGTCTCGTTGTCTAACGTTTCTCTCACTCTTTACCTTTCTTTCAACGACACCCTACCACAGCATAAATTCTCCCAACATTTTTTTATACAGTATTGGAAAAGTATTATTATTATCATGTATGTAATAATAAGGATTTGAAGACTGTTAAGGCACAACTATAGACAGTGCTGACTGTAAAAAGTGCAAGTATTGATTTAGCATGTTCACGTGTATGGAAAATCCCATGTCACTTCCAGGTTGGCTTGTGTTAGCCTCTGATAATTTTTGTGTTCAACAGCCAAAAAACTACAGGGCCCGCAAATCTTCAGACATGTTCTTTGGAACAGAAAACCCCCATTATTGTGTGTGTTTTGTTTTTTTTTTAAAAAAAGGAAAGAAAATCCTCTATCTAAAAATACATTTTTGGGGCCGAAGCTGATGGAACACAAACTAGGCTAGAAGGTATAGTCTGCCATGCATCAGTGCTCTGCTCATCCTACAGATGGAGCAAACCCCCACCCCCACCGCTCTGTTTATTTAGCTGAAGTAATGGCTTTTATTTGTATAGTTGCTTTAGCACTCGATTTTAAACAAGGAGACCATCTGCCTCCAGCCAGCATACCTGTAAAACAGTCCACAATACAGTTGAGCCCCTCCAGCAAGGCTGAAAGATAAACAGACCAGACCTGGCCAAGTAACAAAGGTTAAGAAAGCAAACGTTTGGTCATAATTAATCTAAATGGTGTGCAAATGTGATTATCTTGTAAAAGTGAGCCAATTGTGAGCCAGTGACCAATTTAAGAACTGTTTCTATTAAAGTCTTTATAACCGGCCTTGAAAACCAACACATGCAGTTGTACATCCATTCATGGGTATTGCATGAGGCTTGACCAGACCAGCTGAAAGCTCATTAGCTTACAGGTGTCAGATGACTTTGTTCCCAAATGGTGGTTCAAGCTATGTTTTCTGCTCTGCAGCTTCCAAATAGTACACGCACTCAGCTGTAGACAAAATAACGGTAATAATAGTAAATCATTTTGAGTGGAGAAGAGAGGACATCACATGCTCTCAGACGTCAGCGTTTGCCTGCAATAAATTGCACACCTGAGACAAAATAAACAATGATTTCCCATCAATATAGAGTTTAAAAGTCTTTGTATTTGCATATACAGGTAGATGGATGTTTTGGCACAGGATATAGGCACAGTCATCCTCATTATTTTAATCCTCTCCCATATTTGACAGCGTTTCTCCTTTTTATACTGCTGTCCCACAGAGCATGTTTACCGGCTCCAATGTTCTCCAGGAATGACGTGAGCATCTGGAGTATCCTGAAAAAATGCATTGGCATGGTGAGGACAGATAATTCTCCTCAAACTGATTTTTTTTTGTCTTTTTTTTTGTGCTTCTGTTTGCTATTTAGAGAAAATGAGCGCTGACTTGAGACATTCTTTTTAACTCAAGACCAAACTCAAGTGAAAAATGTAGGTAACAGTGACTAATTAGTTTTTGTACTTCTACCTTAACTTCTGGTGGCTTTAGGAATATAGTCATTAGTATCACTGTCTTGGACTCCTAAGGGATCTCAGTCCCCACTCAGCCCCTGCCTGGATATAATCACATATAATAATGTCTATTAATGTTTTATTACCCAATATAATGTGGCTAATGATTCATGCATACGCAATTCAGTGGACAGGCGATAGATACATGGGGGTATGCATAAAGTGTGTTAAGGAGTGCAGCCATGTGATTGTTTTCTCTACATCCTTTTGGTTGTAAACCACTGCCACTTACATTAAACCTCAGATATTACAGTTTAAAGTTAGAACATACAGAATAATGTCAGTTTGCAACACCACCAACACTGAATTGAGTTGTGTACAGATGCTCTAGAAAGATGGCATTTAGCTCTGTTGTAATGATTCTAACTGGATTTTAGAGCTGCACATAATACTGATAATTCATTAGAGATGGACACAACCCACTCCCCATGCAATAGTCCTCACTGTTTCTTTCATCTTCTCCAACATCTTTTTCAGGAGTTGTCAAAGATTGCCATGCCTGTTATATTTAATGAGCCTCTGAGTTTCCTCCAGCGGTTAACAGAATACATGGAGCACACCTCCCTCATCCACCAGGCCAATGCCACAACAGACTCTATCGAGAGGATGAAGGTACCACAGTTCCCACATTTACAAACATAGACTCAACAGTTATTGATAATGATGTTCTATCATTATTTAATATTGAATTAATCAGTCATAAGTCAATTCTCTGTAGTGTGTTGCAGCATTCGCTGTGTCAGCCGTAGCATCGCAGTGGGAAAGGACTGGGAAACCCTTCAACCCACTACTGGGGGAGACCTATGAGCTCATCAGGTAGGATGTTGGACACAAACTTTTCTTCTTCTTCTTTTTTTTTTTTTTTTTGTGAAAAAACAAGGAAATTTCATGTCCCTGTTCCCCATTAGAGACGATCTGGGCTTCAGGTGGGTGTCGGAGCAAGTAAGCCATCACCCTCCAGTCAGTGCCTTTCAAGCTGAGGGCCTCAAGGAGGATTTTGTCTTCCATGGCTCCATCTGCCCCAAGCTCAAGTTTTGGGGAAAGAGCATAGAAGCTGAGCCCAAGGGACTCATTACACTGGAGCTGCCTAAGTGAGTGCACAGTCTGAAAGCTGCTTTTGTCTGATTTGATTCCTTTTTGGAGGTTTGCGTCAGCTTATGTTACTTTTGTCTTTACCTTTTTTCTGCTTTGTCTCGGCAGATATAACGAAGCCTACACTTGGACAAACCCCACCTGTTGTGTCCACAATATCATTGTTGGTCAGCTTTGGATTGAGCAGTATGGCAACGTGGAAGTGCTCAATCACAAGTAATAGAAATCCCCTTCTCTTTATGCTGTCCTGTTTGCCTGCAAATGCATGCTCACCCAGTGCGTTTGCAGGCACGGAGACTAGGGTGCATGAATATCTTTCTTTCTTTCTTTCTTCCGAGTGTTGATCTACTTTCAGATTCAGCGTATTGATCATGGGAGCAGAACTGGGACAGTTGCCGTTAGAATAGAAGAGCAGTATAATTAATGTTTGAAAAGGCTCAGCTTGTAGAAGGAGAATAGTGAAAGAGAATTGTTAAACAGTCTGTCATTCTGTGGTAGGACCGGAGAGAGATGCAGCATGACGTTCAAGCCTTGTGGCCTCTTTGGAAAAGAGCTCCATAAAGTGGAGGGATACATCCTAGATAAAAGGTATTGACAGGCTTTTAATTGGCAATAATTTAATTTTTTATCCGATGTTTAATACAGCCTGAAAGAATGTAAATTCATCATAAATTACTACATTGTTAATTACCTTATGTCATAGCAGCACAACAGTTTATATGATCTGAGTTTTACTGTGTTGTCTCAGTGATGATGAATCTAAAGGTTTATTAACATTTGTTTGTGTGGTTGCAGCAAAAAGAAGCTCTGTGCAATATATGGCAAATGGACTGAATGCCTGTACACAGTAGACTCTGCTACATTCGATGCCCACAAAAAGACTGACAGAAAGAATTCAGAGGAAAAAAAGGGCAATAAACAGGTATTAAATTTGACTGCTTTTACAGTTGTGACCAAAATTATTAGCCCCCCTTATGAAATTAGACAAAACTCTTGATTTCTCCATGGAAATGGCCATTAAAAACACATGTTTGTTATTTTGGAAACAAATACACTACAAAGACAAAAGGTGACAAGTTTGATTAGGATATTTTATTGATACTGAGTTGGAAAAAAAAAGGCAAAAATGAGAAATCCAAAATTATTAGCCCCCAGGCCATTAATAGTCAATAGTGTACCCTTTCTGAGCCACAACTGACAACAACCTCTTAGAGTAGGTCTTTACTAGGTTGGCACAGGTCTCCTGAGGGATTTTGGCCCATTCTTCCATTGAAAATTGTTCCAGCTGGTCCAAATTGCGTGGTTTCCGAGCATGGACATTCACTTTGAGCACCCGCCGCAGATTCTCAATAGGATTGAGGTATGGGCTCTGTGCGGGCCACTCCAGGACCTTGGTTTTGGTATCCTTCAGGAACTGTTGGACCAATTTCAATGTGTGCTTTGGGTCATTGTCTTGTTGGAAGACCAAGCAACGACCTAAGGATAGACTACGAGCAGATTTCTGCATATTATCCCTTAAAATGTCAACATTATTTTCTTTTTTCATGATGCCATGCAGCCGAACAAGGCTCCCTGTGCCTGAGGCTGCAAAACAGTCCCACAGCATGATTCTCCCGCCACCATGTTTAACTGTGGGAACTGTGTTCTTAGGGTTCAAGGCCTCTCCCTTTCTTCAGCAAACATAAGCAACATCCATGTGCCCAAACAATTCCAGTTTAGTCTCATCAGACTTGGAAGCACAGACATCCAAAACTCATCTTTACCTTTCAAAGTTCACGGGCAAACCTCAGTCTGGCTTTGATGTGCCGCGTAAAGAGTAAAGGGGTTCTTCTTGGACGATGGCCCTGAAGCCCACCACGATGGAGAGCCCTCACAACTGTGCTCCTTGAAACAGCAACTCCAGCCAATCATCTTGGCAGATGTCTGGGGATTCTTGCTGACATCTCTGACAATTTTCCTCTCTAGAGTTCTTGAAATCGTGAGCTTACGACCACGCCCAGGTTTGTTTCTTACAGAATTTGTCTCCTTGTACTTGGCAATGATGCAACGTACAGCGGTTCTAGACACTGTGAAACGCTTGGAAATGGCAGTATAGCCTTCCCCCTTACCATGAGCCTCCACTATCTTCTTTCTGAGCTCAAGACTGATTTCCTTTGAATATAAAATGTTATTTTATATTCCAAAATGTACCAAAAGCTACTAAAAAGCACTGGTGAATGTGTGATTATATCGAGTTTTATCAATGCTGCAAACATTGAGAAGAATTTTAGGAAAATGTTCCATAATTCCTGGGGGGCTAATAAATTTGGTCACAACTGTAAAAGTCACAAATGTTCTGTCTCCGTTTGGTTCCAGTTAAACTTGAGCTTATGTGTGTTTATCTCTGTGGCCCCAGAGCAGTGTGGATGAGGAACCAGAAGAAATGCCTCCACCTGAAGCCGAGACAGTCCAGGTCATCCCAGGCAGCGAGCTCATCTGGAAGATAACGCCTCGACCCGACAACTCAGCCAAGGTGCGAGAAGACAGAAGGGGGTGGAAAGAGAAGACTTTGTACATTTTTGAATAAGAAAGATCATGCATAGTAGCTGGAGATGAGGCTTTTGTGTTATTTTGTTGCTTTATGTTCTTGCCACCTGATCATTTTATCCTCTCTGACAGTTCTATGCATTCTCCACATTCGCCATGCACCTAAACGAGCTGGAGAAGAGCATGGAAGGAGTTATTCCCCCAACAGATAGTCGCCTCAGACCTGACATTCGCGCCATGGAGAATGGAGATATAGGTACAGTGTATGACCTTGATTTGAGGCCCTATTATGCAACACCATCTTAAATACTACCTCTGGTGTTATTCAACTTTATACATCACACCTTTTTTTATAGATTTGGCAAGTGCAGAGAAGAAGAGACTGGAGGAAAAACAGAGAATGTCCCGAAAAAATCGCAACAAATCAACGGATGAATGGAAAACAAGGTTGGTCACTGAGTAATAACATGATGTAATGTAATTTCCCAATTGCTAATTTGTTTTTACTAATGTCCTCCCTATTGTCTTGTGCTACCAACTGTACTGTCCCCTTTATTATACTTGAGAAGGAACGCTGCACTTGGCCCAAGGTTTGGTTCTAAGCTTTGTTTTGTTGCTGTGGATTTCTCTGGTGTGAAGTGCTGCACAACACCACCCTCCTCAGGACAAAATGCACAACTGCAACTGTGTGTGAATGCATGAATGCATATGTCAAGAAACTGGTACTCAAGAAGATATTGGTGTTGGATACAAGTTCACCTTGTCATGAACCAGTGTTCTAAATTCTCTCTAATTTTTTGTTTTCTCTTTGTAAAACCTCTGCAGGTGGTTTCAGCAAGGACCCAACCCCCATAACAAAGCTCAGGACTGGCTCTACTTGAAAGGCTACTGGGACAGGAACTACAGTCACCTGCCTGACATCTACTAAGTAGAAATGCACACAAATACCGTACACATGGTACAACACCTTTTGGACTAATCTTATCTGCTGCACTGGGGTTTGTTCACAGTCTTAAAGCAGTCAAAGGCAGTGAAACACTGACTGAACCCAGAGGCATTTATTCTTCAGTAGGTGTGTGTGTGTGTGTGTGTGTGTGTGTGTGTGTGTGTGTGTGTGTGTGTGTGTGTGTGTGTGTGTGTGTGTGTGTGTGTGTGTGTGTGTGTGTGTGTGTGTGTGTGTGTGTGTGTGTGTGTGTGTGTGTGTGTGAGAACAATAAAGCACAAAAACTCTTTTTCTTATTTATTGTGGTCCTTGACCACTTAAGTATGGTATAGGCATGTATTGGAAAAACTAGAATGTATTTTAGAAATATTTATATATTATATGTTAGATAGTGTTTACACAGCAACCTTGGTTTTGTTGTTAGTCTGTCCATAATGACCACTGTCCACTGCTGGTCATGAAAACATTTTACTCGTCCAATTCGGTGTGGAGACATACAAGGTAACACCACTATGAACAGCTACAATGGAGTGCATGATGCATTCTGAGCATATTGATTCAAGGCTTATTTAACTTGTGCATGCATACTATAATGCAGTGCAAAGTATTGAAATAGCCCGTTTGGGAACATTTGCCTTTGTTGATGAGTGGTGTACAAAGACAATTAGTGTTTTCACTGGACGTTGAATGAATGTTACCACATCCAACAAGAATCATGGCCAGCACTACAACAAGACAAGAATTATTTTTTAAAACATCATTCAGCCCTAAACTATGTACTGTATAGATGTGTATAGAGACTAAGACATTAGTCTACTTGACTCTGTAGATACAGTAGCACTTTTTTTTTTTTGAACTATACTAACGCAGGGACACTGGCTCTGCACTTATAGCTTTGGGTGTGCGTGTGTGTGTGTATAAAGGTCTTGCCATAGTTAAAGTATAATTAGCTATATTCCTAGTGCTATTGATCTAATTGTAATCTAACATCACAATAAATGCATGTGCATCACTAACTATGCAAGCCTTACCTCCTTCACAATCAAGCACTAATTTTCTCATGTTGTGGATAGCTGCTAAATGTTGTTTTTTTTTCTGTTATCAGTCTTTTGGGTTTCAAAACTGAATTTCTATTGTTGCTAAATAAAAGCTTAATGTTAATTTAACTTTTTTTGGTTTTGTGCGAGTTGCTTTAATTTTTAAGGAAATATGTGCATTAGGTGGGTGTTTGCTGAATTGTTGTATTACAAGATGAGTGGAATTAAAAATTAATATATTTTACTAGATGCTGTCTACCCCACTGCCTTCTCTACCAGGGGCCATGTCCTACTTACATGCCCCCAGCGACTCTTTGTGAAATTCGTCTTGGTCTTCCTATTTTACTGATTTACCTCCAAAATTATGCAGACTGTTTTTTTTTTTACAATTCATCCATGGATCCCTAGGGGAAGAATGTAAAATTCCCAGCAGTAGCTTGACCTGTTCATATCAATTTCTCTGTTTTGCCATTGTGAAATACATAGTTGTAAGTTATTAGGTGCACCTAGCTCCTGCAATAAATCCTACCTTAATGAAGGTTATAATGTAACCGTTTTAGATGCATTGATTCACCATTATGATGCTTTTAGAGGCTGTAGTTTGTGGTGCAGTTGAGCTGTATTGCAGTATACTAAAGGTGTTAATATATTGTCCTTGCCATCTATATAATTGAGGGTAGACTAATGCAATCGATATTCCCTGCTGCTCATGTAAGTACCCACTGTGTATTTGTTTTAAATTGTTGGAATGATTAAAAGAGTTATCAGTAGTGTTATTTGTGAGCTATTAAATCATTTGTTGTTGCAGAATGCAGTTTATGTATACAGCATGTACATCTTGGTGCCCCACTCCCATATGATGATCACCTCATAATCAAATATAGTGGATAAAACAATATTCCATTTTACAATATTCATTTTATTATCTTAAAACAAACAATATAAAAGGAGAGCCAGTATACAGCCAATAGTGGCACAACATGATGTTGGCACATCTATTAAAACTTTTGTGCAAGACATTTACACCAATAAAAACATTTCTGCTTAAAAAAGGGACAACGCTAAAAAAAACTGCTTTGTACTCATGCCTATGGATTAGCAAGCCTTTACAGCACAAATGTCAAAGTCAGCAACCAACACAGACGGTAAGAATATCCACTTCTCAAAGTTATAGGCTGAGTCATTCGCTTTAATTGCTTGGTCAAATAATACTGGATATGTACCATGACTCAACTTGACTTCAAATCAGAGGGAAAACCGTCCGTCAGTGGAAGCAATATGACTGATGCTTTTAAAATTAATTTCTAGATTTTCATCTGATTTAACTGGCATCTAATTTTGAAATTAACCATGTAAACAATAAAATAATTTGTTCTGTAATATAGTAACACAAATAAAACCCCTCTTGTAACTGCGCTACCATAAAACACAATATATATTGCACACATTGGCTCAAAACATGAAAATAATAAATTAAAACAAATAAAATCGTAACATTAGTGGCAGAATGGTGGTGTGGCTCTCTTAAAAGACCTCTCTGTCGTTCAGTTCTTCCTGAGGTGCAGATAAAATGTCAAGGCTGGGCTTCAGCCCTCACAGAGGCAAGAGCTGAATGAATACGAACATGGAGCCTGTTCTCAAAGTCATATCCGGCATAGTCCTCCTGCATAATCCATGAAAACAGACAAAATTGTGAATAACATTTATTTTGCTCGTGCTCTCCACTCTAACAAGCTTTGCAGTCATTACTCTCAGGCTGATCAATACACTCGCTGTCCAATCAAGTAGCAGCATACCCATTAAAGAAGCAGAGAGCCTGCTGCTTAGCTCCTCCTGTGCTCCTGTCAGACACTGCTGCATCTGCTCGGGCATGCAGAGTTGGCTGTTAAAGCAACAGCAGAGAGCCTGAGCTCTAGGCTCCGTCACTGTCAACTGTCCATCCACTAACAAAGTCGATGCTGCTGCACCAGACGTCTCCAATTCAAATGCAGGTGGGTGAGGCTGCACCCAGTGCACCTCAGGCAATGCAGATACCAGGACACAAACTGATGTAAACTGATGTATTTTGGAATTGCATTCACCACATCTGGAACATGTTGTAACAGGCAATATTTAAAAAGGTGTTCAGACACATCTCTGATATTCTGGGACAGAACTATCAGCTCGGTGTAAATGAGATGAAGCCTGCTTTGCGGTGCCATGACTCCATGCTGAGATCAGACAATGCAAATACACCTTACCTAAACCAAAGGTTCCAAACCTGGGGGTCTGGACTAGGAGACGCCAAGCTTCACGGGGGGCTTTCTTGATTCAAAGGGGTGTGTAAGTAAATGTAGAGTTAAGTAAATCTAATAATAGAACAACACCCAAGTGCCAGGGCCAAGAAAACACTGAATTTGAATATAATATGAAATATCCATAAAATATGTCACTTAGTTTGGGGTTGCCAGTTTATTAAATGATAGAAAAGGGGTCCCTTAAGGAATAAGGTTGGGAACCACTGACCTAAACCAACAAGGTGCAGTATGAGGTCTCCTTCTCCCTGAGGAGAGGAAGCGCAATTCACTGGCCACTCCACGAAGACAGAAACCTGCCACAGCTCCAGCCAGCTTCTACATCCATGGCTACAGCCGCGACACCACCAACCCCCTCTCTAGTTCAGTGCCCAGCTGACCCACCGTACTCTGTTCATTGACACTGGCAGTGGGCTTGCTGCTCCTTTATTGGGTATGCTAGCACTTGATCAGGCAGTGAGTGTATTGATCTGTCAGAGCACATCCTAAGTTATTTACAAGACTTTGATCAAAAACTTTAACTGAAGGCAGAAATAAGGCAAAATCCTCTCTACTAGGACACTCTACTACTTGCTCTAAATAAATTTAATGAGGCAATGTTTTGGTCTCAGGGGTAAACCAATAATGAAACCTGTTAGAGAAAAACTAGTCATGGAACTTTCTACCCACTAATAAAGTTTATGAACAGTCAATAAATTAATGAAAACCAGTATAAAATACAAATCGTTAGATGCATTAATTAAAAAAGCCATGCAATAAAGAAACCTACTGTACCTTGGCCTGAAGCATTAGCATTCTGCCCTTCGCTACAGACTGAAACACAAGACAATAAAATATTAGACTTTGTGACTTCTGCACCATCTCAGACATGGTCTATCTCTCACACACACACACACACACACACACACACACACACACACACACACACACACACACACACACACACACACACACACACACACACACACACACACACACACACAAAACTTGCCTCTGGGGTGTTCAGCAACACACAGCCCAGTTCATAGCAGGAGTAGGGCTGCACGTAAGAGTTGCTCAGACGGCCCACCTCATCCCTTGCAGCCAGATGGAAATACTGCGAAAAAAAGGGGGTTAGGGATATCAGTTATAGGTCTTACCAACATAACAATTTAACAGTCCTACAACTACAGTTAGGTGCAGTGTATCTTGCATAATATATTTCCAAGCCCTATGCATTTAATTAGACATGGGAGTACCTGAATAGCATCTTTGGTATTATGAAGACATTTGTTAATGGCACCAAGAAGCAGATTTTTCAGGCCTGCACTTGAGGCATCATCAATCCCCTGCAGAACTAAAAAAATAATAAAGTTTAGTTACACCCAAAGACAAATAAACAACATAAAAAGTGTGGGTTGGTGATTTAAACAATATAAAATCGAGTACCTTGTGTCATTGTCTGTAGCTTGGTGGTGGAGCAGTTGGGCAGAGCTTTCCACAGGTAAAGAATCTCGATCACAGACAGGATACAGAGTTCTTTGAACAGACTGGTGCTCCTTAGCTTCTCAGCCTGAAAAAAAAAATGTACATTCAGACTTCACTGATTTTCACTGTATTTTGCACCAAAAATGTTTAATAGAAAGTCAGCTGGATACATACCCTCTTCATGGAGAACAACTCGATCTGATTATTCTTGCGTTTGAAAAGTCTTTGAACATCCTTGAACACAGAGACAGCTCCCTCCAGGTCACCTGTGGCTCCTTGGCACACTAACACAACAACGTATAATATGGATGAGCAACCAATACCAAACCTCCAAGAAATGCCTTTAAAGCCTTATTCATTTGTACTGTAACCACCTCCAGTTAAATAGGCGTAGTAGCACTGGGACCAGCGAGACTCCGTCTTCAGTCTCTCAAAGGCTCTGTAGGCTTCTGTGTAGTTCAGTTCGATCATGCTGCACCAACCTAAAACATTCAACAATCAGAAATTATGATGCAGACTAGCGTGGAGCAAGGTGGTTTGAAATCTGAGAGGGGAAATAGTACCTATTTCATATAAACACACGTGCTGTATTTCCCTCTGGTCAGAGGCCAGATCTAAGGCATCACGGAAGGACGTCAAGGCACTACTGATCTGGCACTAGAAAGGGGAACTTTGTGGTGTGAGTTACAGGCTGATACAATATTGAGCTTTCACAAGTCAGGCCACATGGACAATCAGGTCTATTCTTAACATGTATTCACCTCAAGGCGTTGAACTCTGCCTTTAAAAAACATGAAGAGGGAGGAGTTTGGATAAATAGCCTCCCTTTGTTGAAGAATGGATTTGGCTTCCATCAGGCCTGCCTGTGTGTCTGTGCCATCCAGAGCGAAGAAGGGCTGCACTACCGTGTGGTACCACAAGAGGGCCAAGCTGTAAAGGAAGCACAGAGACCAGTGAGAGGGAGTGTACTGTACAGAAAAACATGACATCTTATATAAAGATGATCCCACCTGGCAGGGCTCCAGACTAACTTTTTGCATTGGTTGCACTGGTGCGCCTAACTTTTTTTTTTTTTTAGGTGCACCAGCACAAAATTTAGGTGCACCCAAATTTTTCATTGCGTTGCCTTTAACGCTATAAGGTCAACTTTTTATCGCTCTCCATAACTTTTATATAATGTGAATGATTTTTAAACAAGAATAAGGTGTAGAGAAATGCTTGTCTTTATTTGAAGCACAATTATATATAAAAAGAAAAATAAAGTGTTTAAAGTGCTTCACTGAGCTGAAATTGAACATTTCAAACTCAAAATTAAAAAAGATAAAAATAAAATAATTATTAATGATAATAATAATGATGATTACTACTACCTGCCGCTGAAATACAGCTGGGAGAGGGGCCAATTTCTCTACACACACTTGTCACGGCATATCGTGTGTTTTTTAGACATGTTATGTTTTTTTTAAAGTCTCGATATGAAACATTGTTGACCCGCTCACGAATGCACTATTTCCGGCCATATTCTGACCGCACTCCTGACAGTACACGCAGTGCATTGTGTTACGTCCTTTGTTGTACCTCAGCCAGAGAAATTGTTTCCTTCAGTCCTGTCTGAAGGAATATATTTTGGCCTTTTTAATTTGGGTCTCGGAGCCGGGCTCTAACCCAGACTCGGTTGTCTCCTCCTCTGGTTCCGAGTCTGATGCTGTCGCCGAAGGACCGGGGCTTGGCATCTCACCAGGGACCGAGGGCTCCGTGTCTTGACAGGATGGACTCTCAGTAGTGGGGATGGATGGGATTATAGTAGTAGGGCTGGTTGTAGGCTTGGTTTTCTTAATGAAAAAACTTTCAATATTTCTGCCTTTCTTCATTTTCCCTCGTTTTGTCGCGTTTATTTTATTTTTCCGTTTCAGTTAGTCAGCTATTCTCGCTCTCAGGTCACGCGCAATTTTTAACACACACAATTTAGCGCAGCGAACAGGACCACAGCCAATCAGAGGCAAAGACCC